CAGGATCCCCCTTCCAACTCTATGATTCTTGTTGCTGGGAATCACGTATGGAGAAGAGGGCTGCTGCACCCAGGTCCTGCTCGCAAGTTTCCTTCCCATAGGCATCTGGTGAGTTACTGTGGGGAAAGGATAGGCTTTGAGGCACAACCAGTTGCAGTGCTCTTATTTATGTTCTCATCAACTGTGTCTGATGGTGCAGCGAGACTTTTGTAGCACTAGTCCAGCGGTGGGAGGGGGGGATGGAGATTGGGGCTCCACTTGAACCAGTGCAAAGTCTTAAGTCTTCCACTGTCCAGAATCCAGTTGCTACAGCAATACAAGAAAGCAAGCAGCCAGATGGTTAAGACAGCAGGTTAATTTGCCTCAGAGTCATATTTAGATGCCAAATTGTGTTAAGACCCTAAAAGAAAAAGGGGTGTGTGTCTAGATTTGTCACTTGTTGGGGGTGGGCAGAATTATAAGTTACCTTGAAGGATTCCACCATAAACTGAGAATCAAACGAGAAAAACGCCACAGACGCGGACTCCCACTGCTGAAGCTGTTCGACAAGCTGCCTCATCACTGGCAGGTGCGTGTAGAGCTCAATCTGACCTGAGGAAGGGGTCACAACTTTTAAGAAATGTATTCGACTTGCACCCTGCCCTTCCATAAAAGGTTCAAGGTAGCCTAAACCTCTTCATTTTTTTAAACAGCCACTTATTTGAGACCAATAAAACAATATATAATTAAGAACTGAAAACAGAAATAGACAAAAATGACAGTGGTTTAAAGAAAAAGACGAAAGCAAGTGGGGCCCAGACTCAGAGCAACAGGCATGAATTTTATCCTTATAGAGCAGGTGACATTCTAGCCACAAAAAAGCCAAATTGGGTTCTAAAGCCCCTACACCCGCCGCCACACCAGATCTTTTTCCGTTCAGGCAAGCAAGAGGAAAGATCACAATTCAAGGCCCGATTCCACCAGGTAAAAGCACCTAAGGAGGGTGCAGAACAGAGCTGAGGGAGGGTTGCGCTATGCTGTACTAAGCTTTTGTTTCCCTTTGTTATTTTAAAATTCTTTGCTCACCTGGGCAATCAAAGAGTATATAATCGTCTTCCACGTGGCCAAGACATCCTTCCAGCCAGTCAAAGTTACTTGCAAGTATTCCATACAAAATACTAAGCCACCATTGGGGCCAAACCTTAGAGAATCGTCTTCCATGACATCGTCCACTTCAATTAATTCCCGGATATCTGAAACAAAAACAAAAAAGGGAGGGGGAACACAACAGTTTTACTTGATTTCTATCTCTCTCTCTCGTGTGTGTGCATTATATTTTTTTACATCCTGCCTTATCCCTGGACCAGAACTCAAGGTGGCTTACAAATAAAAACACAAAAGGCGGGGGCAGGAAGAGGAGGGGGGCAGGAAGGAGGAGGAGCCTCATGTCTGTAGTAAATGACTTGGGAGAAGGGTTTCTCTGTGCATGACTGTTTTAGTCAGCTGATGACTGGGGAAGAGAGAGGAGGAATGGGGGAAAGGGAAGGTGGAAGTGGGTGAAGGGAAATGTGGCATTTGGCAGAATGAGGGGGCATGTGGAAGGTAGGGAGGAAGGAAGGTGTGTGTGTGAGAGAGTGTGTGTTTTAGGGCTCTGTAGATGGAGAAGAAAGCTGAAGAGAAGGAACTGGGGAGGAGGCAAGTGGATGGGGTTAAGGAGGGATTTGGAGTGCTGTGAAGGAGCAACAAGGGGGCATTAGGAGAAATGAAGAAGAATATATCAGTGTCCATCCCTTCTGGTTGTTGTTGTTGTTGTTAACAACAACAACAACAATTTTATTATTTCTACACAGCTTACAACAGATCTAAAATATAATAAACACATCAATCCTTAAAAACTTCCCTAAACAGGGCTGCCTTCAGATGTCTTCTAAAAGTCAGATAGTTGTTTATTTCCTTGACATCTGAAGGGAAGGCGTTCCACAGGGAGGGCGCCTGGTTCCCTGTAACTTTGCTTCTCGCAGTGAGGGAACCAGCAAAGACCCTCAGAGGATGACCTCAATGTCCAACTGCACTAAACTGTCTCCCCCTGCCATTTCTCAGCTGCCTCATATGAGAGAGATAAGGATATGGAGCCCTCAAATATTCCTTAGTACGTTCACACAATGTATTTTACTCCTGATACCATGTGTTATCTTCAACATGCAGTTCCAGATTCAATGAAGTGATTTAGCAGAAATATTTTATTAACAACCAAACACCTAAACATGTACATCAACTGAATTTAACCTCTAACTAAACAAGGGGACGTGGGTGCCGCTGTGGGTAAAACCTCAGTGCCTAGGACTTGCCGATCGTATGGTCGGCGGTTCGAATCCCATCTTTCGGTCCCAGCTCCTGCCCACCTAGCAGTTCGAAAGCACCCCTAAGTGCAAGTAGATAAATAGGTACCGCTTTATAGCGGGAAGGTAAACGGCGTTTCCGTGTGCTGTGCTGGTGCTGGCTCGCCAGAGCAGCTTCGTCACGCTGGCCACGTGACCCGGAAGTGTCTCCGGACAGCGCTGGCCCCCGGCCTCTCGAGTGAGATGAGCGCACAACCCTAGAGTCGGACACGACTGGCCCGCACGGGCAGGGGTACCTTTACCTTTACCTTTATATAAGCTAACTGACAGGCTTGCACTAAAGACTCTATTCATCTTAAATATACAATAACATGTATCATCATGGGTGTGTGTGTGCAAAAGGGGCCGCAGAATAGGAGAGTTGGCAGCATAGAAATGGTAGTGGTCTGTGTACAAGTGGGAATTGAGATAAGGAAGCAGCAGGAGGGAGAAATATGGAGCTGAAGGTGAAAACGGGGGTGTGCAAAGGGGAGTTGTGAAAAAAAGGAGCCAAGGAGGTGAAGATGAAAGCGAGAGTATTAGAAGGGGTGTAGAATAAGAGGGGATGGTGGCTTCATAATTGGGCAGAAAAAGTGAAAAGGGTGCTCAGTAGCTGCAACATGTGGGAGGTGGAAGATTCCAGAGATTCCCATGTGAGTGGTCTGTGTGCAGGGAGGGGCATTGCAGAAAATACCAGTTGTTGGGGAACTGCTACTGTGGGATGCTGCTATTGCACTCATCCTGTGAGAACAGAATTCAGCAATCCTCTTCTTATCATAGAACCATTAGTTCAACCCCCTGCAATGCAGGAATCTCAACTAAACCATCCATGACCTGCTGCATCCCTATATGCTTCAAGCCTTGGCCTTACCTGCCATGACATCATAGTCAAAGTGTTCTGCAGCGGGATCAAGGTTCACTACCTGGACCGAGCGATTCAGTTCTTCGCAGTGTTGGACGATGGTGGAACAGTAAGTGCTCTGGAATTTAAAAAATCCAGAGCATTAACAAACTAGCAAAAGCCACCAGGAGAGTTTCTATCAGTGGGCAGGAATCCAGCATCTGAGGAGAGGAGATAACGGAGACATCTCTGCTGACAGTCTCCTTTGAAACATGGGGCAGTCATTTGCTTTCCATCGAATAACATTGAGCACAATCTATCTGGGTCCCTAATAGGCATGATCAGGCGGTTTTACAGGAATTTTGTTTAAATTTTATGAATACCACCATGGTTATTAATTTTCCAGAGAAAATGGGTATTCTGAAAAGCTCTGAAGGAACAGCTGCCTCTACACCAGCCTGTCCATGTGACAAGATCATCCAAGGCCTCATCTGTGTGTCTCTACCATGTGAGCCCAGATGGGTGACAACTGTGGAGAAGACCTTCTCAGTGCTGCCACCCCATTTATGGAATTCTTTCCATTAGTTTGGATTGCCTTTGGCTATCTTTTTAACACCAAGTTGGACTTTAAAAGAAAAGATTCTAGGCATTATTATTTTTTCTAGGCAATGATATCGCTGCCAGTTTCCCCCCTTCCATTCAGTTTTTTCCCTTTAAATTTTTGCTGCTCTTTTCGCTGTACTGTTCCTTTTTTATTTTTACCGCCAACCCCAGCCAGTGAGAGTTGTGGTCCAAAGCATCTGAAGAACAGCAGCAGGAATAAGCAGCACTTAAAAACTAAAGTATGCTAAGAAGCTTTTACTATGGTAAAATCGATTGAAAGTGGTTTTCGTCTGCCATCAATACTGTACATGCAACTTTTTGGACTTTATTAGATTGGGTGAGACAACACCGACTTTATTTGCCAAGCTCTGTATTCCTTTTTTGACGACTGTTTTGTTAGCTTCAATATTGTTAATTTAATTGATAATTCAAAAATCGATTAACGAGGGGTAAAACCCCTTAAAGAGGCAGAAAAAGAAGAATAAGCTTTTAAGAACCTCGGTTATAAACTGCGTTGCTGTGCATAGCAAGGACGGCAATTTTGGGCAGGCAGCCCTTCCAGAAGTCCCTTTGCAGAGCTCGAGTCAAGGCCAAAGTATCCACAAGGCCTCGGCCCGCACTCACCTTCCCGCTCCCCGCGGGACCCATAACCAGCTGCGCATAGCGAGGCATCTCGGCCTCCTTCCGAGCGCAGCGCCTGGAAAAGACCGAGCGCCACAACTTTGGCCCAACGGGCCACCCGTAGCACGCACGTACTTCAACTTCCTATCCTCGCGTCACCCGGCTCCATGGTCTGTACGTCACTTCCGCAGGTAAGGCAAGCCCGAGGGCCCAACCGTAGAAAGTCAAACTTGGAGCCTTTGGGCAGGTTTGAAGAGCCGCCAGAGCCCGATCGCTCTTCTGGAGTGTTGAAGAGGGGGCGGGGCTGGGTTTCATTTCATGCCTTGGCCCCGGACGGTTGGAAATGTGGTGGGGTTTTTGGGTTGTTGTTTTTTGCAAATGAGGCTCCAGTCCTTAAAAGGGCTTTCTGATTAAGTAAAAAATATTTATTATTATTTATTTTGGACTCTGCCTTTCTGTGATAAAAGCAAATGCATGATGGTTTTAGAAATACACACACATGTATCTTGACTTTTTTAAAAAAAATGTCCTGTAAAGCCCCACAGAGCTCATCTGCACTTACTCTAGGGTCAGAGTGCATCATAGGATTGCTATATTAACACATAAAAAGGTAAAGGGACCCCTGACCATTAGGTCCAGTCGCGGATGACTCTGGGGTTGCGGCACTCATCTCGCTTTAATGGCTGTGGGAGCTTCCGGGTCATGTGGCCAGCATGACTAAGCCGCTTCTGGCGAACCAGAGCAGCGCACGGAAACGCTGTTTACCTTCCCGCCGGAGCGGTACCTATTTATCTACTTGCACTTTGACGTGCTTTTGAACTGCTAGGTTGGCAGGAGCTGGGAATGAGCAACGGGAGCTCACCCTGTCGCAGGGATTTGAACCGCCAACCTTCTGATCGGCAAGTCCTAGGCTCTGTGGTTTAACTCACAACGCCACCTGCGTCGCTATATCGACACATATTTAGAGTTGAATTAGATACAGTACATATGTATGAAAGTGTTCATCAAGGCATATACAGAGCACACAAATCCAAATTCCACAGGGTTAAATGAATCCATAGGTCTTCTAAGGTGTCTGCAATTATTTAAAAAAAAAACAAAATTATTTATTTTACGTATTTTCCTGCTCGTGATAAAACCTTGCAAGCGGCTTACAAGAAATATTAACATTATTCGTTTAAAAAAACTGGTTAAAAACCTTTAACATAATCAAACCCTATAAAAATTATATATATCTAGATGCAGAATAAAAAAAATGTCTGCAGCAGTGCAGATACAGTATTTGTCATTTTTGAGGTTAGTAAGTAATAGGAAAGCAGTACATCAAGTAAGCAATGGAACAAATAATAATTTACTGCCCCACAAAAGACCCCCCATAAAATAAAATTATTTTTTGTTTTGTTTGTTAGCAACCTACCCAACAGTGCATCTGCCAGAACAACATTTTCAGCAAAACTCTTGGTTACAAGTGGGAGACAAAGAAGATAAGGCCAGAAGATAATGGGGGTGTTGTGTCTGTTATCGTTATTGGGAAACGGCCCGAAGTCACCATCAGATCAAAAGTGTCCATAGAATCATAGAGTTGGAAGAGACCACAAGGGCCATCGAGTCCAACCCCCTGCCAAGCAGGAAACACCATCAGAGCACTCCTGACATATGGTTGTCAAGCCTCTGCTTAAAGACCTCCAAAGGAGGAGACTCCACCACACTCCTTGGCAGCAAATTCCACTGTCGAACAGCTCTTACTGTCAGGAAGTTCTTCCTAATGTTTAGGTGGAATCTTCTTTCTTGTAGTTTGGATCCATTGCTCCGTGTCCGCTTCTCTGGAGCAGCAGAAAACAACCTTTCTCCCTCCTCTATGTGACATCCCTTTATATATTTGAACATGGCTATCATATCACCCCTTAACCTCCTCTTCTCCAGGCTAAACATGCCCAGCTCCCTTAGCCAGATCAATAGAAGACAATATATCTGGCAGATGGAGCCCTACACAGATGCAGAGTGGAGCCCCTAAGATGGTTGGGTGGCATTTTGTAGGCCTCCTTCTGGCAAAAGACAGGGCAGGGCAGGGGACAGAGAGAGATCTGAAAATTGTTAACATTATTTTGCCTCAAAAGATGTCACGGAATTTTGGGTTTTTCCATTCCTTAGTATATATGATCTACTCTGTGTAACTCCATGTGTCAAGAAGAAAAAGAACTGGAAAAGAATGGAATAAAAATTAATATTTTTTAATGGATTTTGAATAAATGCACAATAAATTGTTACTGTTTTGAATTTAATTGTGTTATTGTCTTCCATTGATCAGCACACTTTTGATCAGAAGGTTATTTCGGGCTGATCTAGTGCAAAAATCACGAGGATCCGTGTTTTTTAACCATGTTTTTGCGCCACTGCAGCCCCACGACACAGTGGATGCATGATTTTTTTGATGCTGCCTACAGACTAAGACATGGTCTACAGTATTATGGCAGTTTTATTTAATTTGAATGAAAAAATCATATGAATTCATGAGGATCCGTTTAAAATCAGCTGCACCCGCCTTTTACCCGTTTCCAACCGAGAATATAGCTCCCTGCAACATAAAACATTTTAACCAAACATAATTAAAGTTCATTTCAACATAGAACATTTTAACCGCCATAATAAAGTCCAGCAACACGATGCGGGACTCGAACTACCAAAGCGCAGCCCAAGGTGGGCGGGAGAGGAGGGACGGAGGGCGGGCTCCGCGTGAGTACGGCGGCCGGGCCGGCCCATTCCGCGCAGTCGCAGCGAAGGCGGAGCCGCTCCTAGAACGAGAGTCATCGCCAGCCCGGGCGACTCTCCGGAAGGAACCTCGCGAGAAGCGGGCGGCTCTCGCGATATCTCCCTGTCCCTACCTGAATCTGCTGCTGCTGCTGCTGCTGCATGTGCCACTCAGGAGGGTGGGAACGGCAGGAGGAGGAACCACCGCCCCCTTCCTCCCCCCAGAGCCCGGCTGAGGGCCCCCCCTCGGGTAAGAGACGCGCCCCCGCCCCGCCGGCTCCCCCCTGGCACTTGGTGGGCAAACTTCGGCTGCTGCCCAGCCCCGAGGCTGGCACGGCTCCCTCCCCCCATGCCCTGCCCAGCCCCTCCCTGGCATCTGCCTTCCTCTTCTCCAGCCCCCCCCCAAAAGTTGGCACTTGCAGCCCTGCCTGCATCGTGGCCCCCCACCCCTCTGGGCGACACCCCGCCCGCAAAAATGGTTCTGCTGGTGCCCGGCATTCAGGGCTGGGTGCTGCCCTCCCCCACCCTGGGCAACTGTTCCGGTGCCAGGCTCCCAAAGCCCTGCAGGGGGCTGTGGAGAATTGGCCCCCACCTAAATCAATTCCTGAAGAGCTCATGGTGAGAGAGGGGAGGTGGGCAGAAGCGACGGAGGAACCTAGCAGAAATGGAAATGGAACCTAGCATAAATCAATTTAAAAATATCAGACAACAACAAGAAGAAGCTTAAATTAAAACGGCTTTGGTTGGTGGAATTGGCATCACTGCCACATAATACCCGTTCCACTTTTGTAAGAACTTTGGAACTCCCAGCCTATTGAGATCAAGCAGTCTACTCTTTTTGGTATCTGCTGAAAGCATTCTTCTTTAGAAGACAAGCCTACCCAGATGTATAGAAAGTTGAGGTGATTTTGGTCTGTATTTTTAACCTCCGTATGTTTTAAAATATGATGGTGAAGTTTTCTCATTTTTGTTGTTTCGTCTTTCTGTAAACCACTTTGAGGTGTTTAACAATCAAGCCATGCATAAATTTTATTAAACAAACAAATGACAGTACACAACGACTTAATGCTGTAAGCGTAGTGGCATCTGCTCAGAAGTAAATCCTGTTGAATTCAATGGGGCTTGCTATCAGGTAAGGGTTTAGGACTGCAGCCTTACTCTGGCTCAGCCTGTTGGTTGCCTAGATTTAGACTTTAATTTCAGAGTCGTAAGCTTCCTGTAGGGATATTAAAAGACAAAACAGTCCCTGTTTGCAGGCCCACAGTGTTCATTGCTTGCTTATATACTGCTTTTCCCTTCTGAGGGAATCCCTAATAGACATGATGCAAAAAGAAAAAGGAATGGAGAGGAAAGAGGAAAAGTATCATATTTATTTACTTATAGAAAATTTATATACTGCTAATTCTCCCTCCTGTGCCCCATTGTGGCCCATTTGCTCTCTGTTCACTTTGTTTATTGCGTGATTTCTTTCTTCTATGACTTGATTTGTTGTAATGCAGTTTGGAAAATTGTTTTTATCATACTCTATTCTGCTTTACTATACTGTGTGAAAAGTGGTATATAAATCTTTTTATAAATAAATTAAAAACCTAGCACACACACCACCCAGATCCTGGCCCAAGCTCCCTCATACTATAACAACCCCACATCCCAGTGCCCAAATCTCCATGTTTTGCCAGAACCGTAGCTATCTTTCTTTTAACTGGTTCAGAGTTGCCACACACACCCTTTTTTCAGTTCATACTTGGTATTTGTAATTAGTAATTTTTGTTCATCTCCCACCACTGTGCTTTGGTACCCAGATTTATAACCACCACTTTCACATTCAGTATCTCCCCTCCTTATTCAAACTGGTACCTTGGGCTCTTCCTTAGACACACAAATGCCAATCCTTTGGCTTTCTCTACTGTCTCTGCCCCAAAAATTCAGATCCATCTCCCCATTCCCACATCTGTGCTTTGCTTCCTGGTGGTAGTAGCAGCCACAGTAATCTCACTTTGCCTCGCACACTTACATCTATGCTGTCATTGCTCAATACCTTCCCCCTTCCCCTTCTCTTTTCGGGCCCAAATCCCGTATACAGGATTGCAGAGTAAACTAGCCATCTCTTACCACACCTTTGGTCTTCAGCAGCCTGTTGTCGGTTATTAGATTAATTCAATTTATATCCTGCCCTTCCTCGTGAAGGAGGCCAGGGTGGCAGTGCCATGCCAGTTGCTGCCCATGGTTTGCGTTGGTTTCTAAGGCTGAAATTTGTACTGAGCTCCTCTGCTTGTGTGATTCCTAGACTTGTGATATGGCAATGGATGCACCTGAGTCTGCACTTCTTGATTGTAAAGGAGACCAAAGGTGCCACGCGAGGCCAGACGCAGACTATCCTC